GCTAACGGCCGGCAGGGGGCGCTAACGGCCGCCGGCGGGGGGCGCTAACGGCCGGCAGGGGGGCGGAGTGCCAACGGCCCCCGAGGGGCGCTAACGGCCGCCGGGGCTGTACCGCGGCGCGCAGGGCGCGTGTGAGCAGCCTGAAGAGCCGCATCCGCACGTAGCGCCGCCAGCCGCGCTGGATGGTGGTCGCCGCCGCCATGGCCGCCGCCGCCATGGCCGGGCCCCGCCCCGCCGCGTTGCCGGGACGCGCGCACAGGGCGCCGGGCCCTCGCGGCGCTCCGTAGCGGCGCGAGCTCGACGACGTCACCAGCGCAGCGACGCGGCCGGCGCCCCCGCCAGCCCGCGCCGGTTCCGCGATGTTCCAGGTGAGGAGCCCCCCTCCCCCATTCCCGCCCGCGCGGCCGTTACGCGGCCGTTACGCGGGGCCGCGGGCGGGGGAGGAGGTAGCGGCCGGCAGGGGGCGCCCCCGGAGCGGCTGCGGCGAGGCCGGGCCCGCGCTGGGCTGGGGGGGGCCGCGGGGGGCCCGGCCACCGGCTGTGGCTCCCGCCGCCCCCTTCTCTTGTTAAAGGCTGGGTCTGCGTTAGCCCCGGCAGCGTGCAGTGCTGATCTCCCATTGCCCCGAGTGTGGATTCGCATAGCTGGGGAAGTCCCTGTCCTAAGAATTTGTCTTTTTGTAGTTTTTATGGAGGTTGTCAGCGAAGTCTGCACATCTCCAAATCCAGCAACGTCCGTGATGCGGAGTTAAATCCCAGCGCAGCTTGGCTGCCCCAGGGGCTCGTCTCGGATAGCAGGAGCCCCAGCCTGCTGAGGCCGGTGGCGGGTTACGTAAGGGTTTGTCCTCGGAACGCTTGGGAGGTCTCAGGTGTTGCTGGTTCTGCACTAAAGGGAGCGCACCCGTCCCAGTGACGGGCGTCCCGTCCCAGTGTTCCCATGTCCTCTTAGACAGAATTCCTGTTTTAGATAGAAACAGAAAGAAAGAAAGAAAGAAAGAAAGAAAGAAGAGATATAGAAAGATAATACATTGTAAGAAAAAAAATCAGGAACATTGAAAAGCACAAAAACAAAAGGGTTTTTTTTTCTGATTTTAGATTTTGTAACTTCAATCTAAGTTACAGTCCAGTAAATAGAAATTCTGCTCACATGTTGCTTTCTTTTCTAAAATTCTTTTTCAGTTTGCATTAAGCTTGTGTATATATTTGAGATCGATTGTAGGGTTTTGTGTCCTGTGCAAATATTACTATTCTTCTACAGCTGTTACGGGTGGGCAAACTCGAGTGCTTAAGAGCAGCCTGTTTTCTGCTACTAAGAGTGGGGAAGGTGGCTTCTTGTTCTTGGTATTTGTGGTTCAGGAAAAGGAGTGCCCAAGGGTGCATGTGTATTTTGTTAAGTGTTGGTAGACATGAGGAAACAGGGAAGAGAAAATGCAGCTGCTTCTTACGTTAGGGCAAATATGACCCTTCACAAAAGTGTAATTTAAGACTTCCTTCCTTTTACTCTTCTACCCGAGTTTAGACAGTGAACTTAAGAAAACAAGCATGAGAAAAAATAACCCAAGTGCTACTTAATCTTTTACTTGTATTATTATTACTATTGCATGCTCATATTGAGAGCTAACAGATTTTTTTCATATATACATTTATAGTTTTTTTTAAAAAATTGTGATTTTAAAACTTCGAGAATGAGACATGAGATTTTTCCTACCAATTTTAGTATAGTTTGTCTGTGAGTGATCTAGCACAGATAAAAATTGAACAGTTAGAAAAAGTAAGAAACTTTTTTAAGTTAAAATATAAAACATTGTCTAACGCGAGTATCTACAGTAGTTTTTGTTATCAACTGACTACATCTAAATCTGAGTCCATTTGACAATCCAGCTCCACCAAAATGTTTTACTAAAACATTTGTTGTAATATAAATATTAAAGCAGAATAAAGAAATGAAACCCCCAAGTAAATTTTGGAAATGGAAAATAGAACAGTTAGTCTTTCATTCTACAGAATAAGTATTTTATTGTGTGTATATAGTACTGATTATTCTTTCCTGTAAACCGCAGTAGGGGTTTCATTTGAGCAATGCACTTAACAGATATTCCTCTTGCACTTGTTAATTCCATTTTGTTCTTAAAATTGTAAATACACAACTCCTGGAAAGCATATGCATTTCAGTATTATGATAGTATGAGTAGTTTTCTGTGCGAGTAGCCTTGTGATCACTGATGACTGTTTGGGACACCAAGGTGATGCCATTCCTATGCTCCATTGTCAGCATGCTTGAGACATATGTGCATATTTACATAAAGCATTCATGTTTAAGGCACTTGGATTTTATGACTTTGGTTGGTGACATTTAATGCCATTTATGGTACTAGAAAATCATGTAAACAGAAGCCAAAAGCCACACTTGCTGTTCAGTGCAGTAGGCTCGGGGTTATTTTTCATAAGTGGAGGAGATCAGTTATGAATTACATTTAATTAATGTAGTATTTTCCAAAAGATGTTACTCTTGTTGGTTTTTATAGGTTTCTTTTTATATGAAGGACTCCTGTTAAAACATTAAATTGACGTTGTAAAAATTGTGTGCATGTACGTGTGCGTGTGTATATGTGTATATATATATATATATATAAAAAAAATACATAAATGAGAGATGTTTGCCCTATTCAGTTATTGCCTTTGAGTGACTGAAGCTGAGAGAAGCTTCTTTCAAAAGCCTTCTCTATTGCTTAAATCTTTCATGTGTAGTATATAGTGTAGTATATCTTTCATGTGTAGTATATATATAGATGTGTCATAGTTTTTGTAGCACAGTTATTCTTAGCTTATTAGAGTTATTTGAAATTTAGGATCACTTGAAACTCAGTGTGGTACTTCAGATAATGGTGTAGTTTAAATAAATGCAGCTTTGAGGAAAGCAAGTGGAATAGATGAGTATATTGTTGCCTTTATTAGGCATGTTTTATTTTTAACAGAAAAATTTCAGCAAGTAATGTTTTACTGAAAACATTATCAGAATGAAAATGCATTTCAGAATTTTGCCTTTTCAGTGAAAGAACAGTTTTGCAGTGAAATAGGAGCGAATGAGGAAGTATATCCTGCAGTTAATAATGGTTAGTGACATTCATGTGTTGGTCTTGGCTAATGAAAGTGTATGAAAAACTTTGTTTAAGCAAACATTAAAGATTGTTCATGCCTTTCCTTAACTGTGAAACATTGTGGTGTTTCGTTATATTGTTGTAATAATGACTCTGTAAGTGCAAGTATGGAAAGACTTCTGTTTTAAGCAAGTTTTTCCATCCCTTTTGGTCCATTGGATCCCTTGCATCTTTCTGGAAAAAGCCATCCATGTCGGCCTAAATCTTGCGTGCTGTTTCCTTGCACATGAAGAAGTCCGATAACTATATATTCTTGTTTTGAGTTTGTAGAATCTCTTGGCTTCATTTGTTGTTTAATAGTCAGTCTTCAAAGAAAGGGATGGAATTTGAGTTGCAGATACAGATCTATATTACATAAAAACAAGCAGTTTGGGTAAGTTTAAGGGTACTTTGTAACAGTTCTGCAGTGGGCAGAGATAAACTTCCAGACTAATCCTATTGCCGGGTCAGTCGTTGCAACAGCATGAAAGATGCATTGATTTAACTCATTTCACGAGGTGTTAGGTCACTCTCCTTAGTATCCACTGTCTGTGCTATCCTTGGAGAGGAAGAGGTCTTGCTGGCTTCTTCTTTGTCCCATCTTCCCTGACCACAGTGCATTCCTCTGGTGCTCATCAGACTGTTTTGTAAATAGGTTCAATTTGTCAACGCCACAAAAAGCTCTCCACTTCTTCTGCAGGATTAATCTTTGCCAGATTAGTGAGGCGAGTTGCCTCACAGGGAAACCCTCCGGCCACCAAGGTATGGGCAAGGGGAGCAGCAGGACTTCCCCCATGAGATGGATCCATGGACACCTCCAGCTTGGCAGCTGCAAGCCGTTACCTTTGCTCGTGATGTAACATGGTGCAAAAAAAAAAAAAAAAAAAAGGGGGGGGGGGGGAAGAAAAAAGCAGGCTATAGAAGCGCTGTACAACCAAGAAACCAAGATAAGGTTGTCAGGTTAGTAACATGAAGACGAGATATTGAAAGGTCTCCTATTTTAACTGCCTTGCTGGATTAAGCATTTGCTGTTAATGAGGATAAGTATTTGTTGGAAGTCTTTCTGTGTGTTCTTGATTATCCATGCACCTGTTTTTTTTGGGGTGGGGTGGGGAGTTAAGGCAGTTTCTTAGGTTAAATTGTATTTCTTAACAGATTTTGAATATAGGAAAAATATAGTCACTTTCTGCATGGTGATTGTATTGTGTGGCTGAATCTGAGGCATTCAAGAAGAGTGTTCAAAAGCAGAGGCATTCAAGTGTCCATCATGGTGCAGGCAGTGCTGTAATTCCTGGCTTGCATAAAAGTAGGAGACCATCCTGAAAGTTTTAAAAGTCACTGATTATGAACTGATACTTTTCAACCATAGACCTTTTTTCTGCTCACCTACATCTAGAGTAGACAACAGCTAGAAATAAGATGATGTTTTTTTTGTATTGGCTGCAGAAAATAAATACATTATGGACTTTCATAAAAGTCTTAGGCTTTATTTTTCTTCTGAAAAAAAAAATGTGTGCTGTCATTTGAGCACTAAAGATTGTTAGGTTGAGTATTGCTGACCTTCCTTTCTCCTGACTTCAAATCATCTTAATTTATCACTTACCACTGCAGCATAAATATTGTCTGTCTGGGATGTATTCAAACATAGTTCACTCCTGTTTGAACTTGTAACTTACATGTCCTCTCATGATGTTTCCAGGTCATCCGGCTGGGGGCCACCCCTGTCAGCCTGGGCTTGCTCTCCATCCAGGTTTATGCTTCCTCTTCAGAGAAGGAAACTTCCAAAAAGGAGTTGCTGAAAATTGATGATGTAAGTATGGTTAGAGCCCAGTGCTCTTCTACCTGTGGAGAAATATTTGCAGAATTCTGAAAGCCCAAATATGTCTTGAAAAGCAGTGTGTTTGGGTACATGTTACCTTTCTATACTTGTGTTTCAACTTGTTTCTCTATTTACAGTAACAGAGGAATCAGTCAGGTAATTGCATCTGATGACCTCTGCTTGACAGTGTCAGGCTTGCTCACATGCAACATCTTTTTCGTACATTAAAGCTTTCTGTTCTTCATTCAGAAATTCTTTTCACTTTTACAGGTTTACTTAAAGTCATGTTTCAAATCCGCAAGAGTATTTGCTTTACTTTTTATGCAGATAATGTCTTATATTTTTATGACAAATACTGTTGTCAAGTTCTGTTAAAATTTCATTTATGTTCTCAAGTGAAACAGCAAAAGCAGAAGCTTCTATTTCTAAAAGCGCAATAATTTATTCTCTATCTGAGAAATAAAATTCCTTGGCTGGTAACACTTTAACTATTAAAACCTATAGGCTATACTGCCTCCACAGAGAATTACGTCAATTTTCCTTTCTCTGTGGCATTAGAACTTGGGTAGCACCATGTATGAAAATAATGATATTTTAAACTTGTCCCTCAACTCTTTCATTAAGAGGTTTCAAATATCCAGGCTATATTACTATTGTAATTGTAAAATACACTGCCCTATCTCAAACTTCACTGTAGAATCGTAGAGTCATAGAATGCTTAAGGTTGGAAGGGACCTCTAGAGATCTAGTCCAACCCCCCTGCGCACTCAGGGACACCCAGAGCACGGGCCACATCTCCAGAGGAGGATACTCCACAACCTCCCTGGGCAGCCTGTTCCAGTGCTCTGTCACCCTCACTTTCAGGAAATTTTTCCTTAAGTTCCTGCGGAACTTCTGGTGCCTCAGTTTGTGGCCGTTTCCTCTAGTCCTGTCGCTGGCCACCGCTGAAAAGAGGCCGCCCCCTCCTCCTCACTGCCTCCCTTGAGGTATTTATAGACACTGATCAGGTCCCCCCTCAGCCTCCTCTTCTCCAGGCTGAACAGGCCCAGCTCTCTCAGCCTTTGCTCACAGGGCAGATGTTCCAGGCCCCTGATCATCCTGGTAGCCCTGCGCTGGACTCTCTCCAGCAGCTCCACATCCCTCTTGTCCCAGGGAGCCCAGTAATTTCTTATCGTGATGTATACTTCTAACAGATGCAAATATCAAAGAGATGTGTTTTGTAGTTTATAACTTAATACAGCCCTATAGCTGTGAGAATTTATGGCTATTTGAAAGTACTTTTAAAATACTTTTAAAATTCTTAAATACTTTAAAAAGCATTTTAGCCCAATTTTAGCCCTAATTTTTAACCTGTTGTTTCATGCAAATATGAAGCTTATTTTTCTGCAGTCTTTTGGATATATCTGCACGAGCAGTTCACTTGTCTAGTGTGGGAAGAGCAGGAGCCTGGGTCTGTGCATGCCCTGCGTGAGTGGGTGGTGAGGCCCGGCCTGGGCCTGCCCGCTGCTCTCCGCTCTCCCTGGCTGCGCTGCCCGGCCTCGTCCGGCGCACGGAGATGTCCTTCTCTCTGAGGCTTCTCGCCGTGTGCCACGCTGGACCGGCAGCTTATCTAACAGGATCAAAACTGCTTAGAGGGCAACTCATTGTGATTAGGAGTGCCAAAGGTAGCTGCATTTCCTAGATAAATGAGGTTCAAAATTACTTCTTTAAAATAAAATATTATGGGAATCCAACTGCACAAGTTATGATTTTTTTTTTTTTATGTTCATGGCAGTATATCTTTGTTTAAGGTTAATGACTTTTTTTACTATCATAGATAATTGTTTCCAATTTACCTTGAAAGAGTGCACTTTGGACATGGACATTAGTTTACAGTGTACTACAAAATACAGTATAAAACTTGTACTAAACACTAGTATAAAAATAATCAGCGGTCTTTCTATTTTTATCTATCTTTATTCTGTTCCATTTCAATAATGTACTTAGGTATACTCTTTTTTTTTTTTTTTTTGAATACTACAATCTTAAATGTGCTCAGGTAATTGCGATAAGTACATTGTGTGTCAAGCTCCTAATATGGTGTTTTAGTATTTATCATGTGAAGATGCCCGTTGCTCTTTAGGTGGCTGTTACAGTTCCTGTTTGTTCGTATCATCCTTTTGGGGCTGTTAATGCTCTCAGCTGCTGCCGTGGTTAATGACTGCAGCACTGGGAGGCAGTACAATTAAACAAGCTAAAGGACTGGGATGTAGTTCAGTAACAAACAGCCCCATTTGTCCTGAATATGTAACTACTAGGACTCTCTGATAATGGCTTGTGAAAATATAAGAAATGATTGATTGTGATTTTAAAGTTCTAGTATGTTAGCTGGGAACCAGAAGTACTGATTAAGACTAGAAACATTTCTTGCAATTATGTCTTGAGTTTTTATGAAACTAGTTTAACGTTAATTTATAGCCTGTGATTTAGATCATGTAGCAGCTACTTTGGATGAATTGCGTAGCAATTAGAAGTCATCTTGATCATAATGTGTCATTAAACTTTGCTCCTGATAGTTGTCTCACAGCGGTGCTTGAATTTTTATTATGCTTCGTTCAGGTAGTAAGCATCGTGTTCTCTGGTTAGAGACATATTGTCCTGAAGACCTCTGTGCATCATTACACCTTTGTTTTTAACCTCTTGTTTGCTAATATTCACAGCTGTCGCTCTACTCCTCTCCAGCTCGTGAGACTAAATATGTGGAAAAGCCACAAACGCCACTGGAAGAAGGGGTTTCACATTTGCGGCATCTGATGGAGCCATACACAGCCTGGTGTCAGGTAAAATGGTTTTGTGTTAAATGGGGTGGTGATTTGGGGATACAGGCTGAGCCAGGATTTTGTTTCTAGATAGAGAATTAAAACATTCCTGAATGGAAAAGAAAGAATTGCTTTAAAAAATCATGAAAGGTTTTGAATTTGTAAGGATGTTCAGGTAGCAGCAAAGGTTTTTTGCATTTTGCACATTCAAAGAGATTTCTGTAAAATACCAGTGGGGTATTTTGAGGAGACAAGACTGAGTGGTCCTCACTGCCGCTGTGATGGGGCACAAGTGTGTAGAAATTCAGTGTTTGCTGAACCAGAAGGTTGAGGGAAGGAATGTGGTTCTCCAAACTTCAGAGAGAGCATCACTGTGCAGAGGCCTCATCCCTGAAGACTTTTATTAGGTAGCATATTTAAGGTAGTGTAACCAGTCACTGAATACAGAAATAGTCTCTGGAGCGTAGAGGAAAAGCAATGTCTTTGCAATCTGTGACGGGTTACCAGGTCACAGGGCTGTGCCATAGCTCTCCTCTTACCCAGTGACTCTTGAGGCTTTTAACTCTGTTGTACTGGGGAGAATGTCACATGAAATACCTGATCAGGTAGTCTTAGCTTTTAAAAATGTGCTTACTCCTGTTTCCTGAAAGGAACATGGATTTGTATGTACTTTTTTTTTTTTGGGAATGCTGTGGACATAGTCCTCTAAGTCATAAATGTGAATCAGAAATGCATGCTCCCTGTAATTCTTATGTACATTCCTAAGCCTGAAAGAGCAGAAGGGTGGATGGCTTCTGTCTTCTGTTCTGTTCTTGGCACCTTTCTGTGATTCTCCACTTCGTCATCTGGCTGCTGTGAATCTTGCTCTTGGGCTGCAGGGAGCTCTTCCTGGAGCCCAGACCTTGTGCTCAGGGCTGTGGCTCCTGCATGTGAAGGGGTGGTTCTGCCCCATCACTAGTGCTCTGACCTCTTCAAGTGCTCGTTGATGTTTGGTTACCTGTGGTAACTAACTGGGAGTGAAATCTGAGAAGAGCCCATGTACCTGCTTGGGCCTATTGCTTTATTTGCCTCATTTTTGTCCACGTGGTAGTCATTTGTGTAGGATGAGCTCTTCTGCTCAGACAACAGATGATTTCGTTGCAGTGATTCTCTGACTCATTTTATGAAATGGTTTGGTCATGTAAACCTCATGGTTTGGGAGTCATCTTGCTTGCTTAACTAGTCAGAGACTATGTGATTTTTTTTTTTCTTTCCCCTAGCTAAAGATAACATTTTAGGTGTCTGTCTCAGTTGTCTTTCAAATTAAAAGCCATAACACAGGATATTGAAATCAGATTTGGCTATATTTACATACCTTCTTTTTCAAAAGTAATTGCTTAATCCTAAGAGAAAGCCAGTTCAAAACACATAGGTAGATACGAGTGGTTTGTGTGAGAATATCAGACTTAGCCTCTGGATTTTTAGAGTGTCTCTGGGTTTTTAGAGTGTGTTCGTCTTTGCACTGACTTTTAATATGGTCACTCATTTAGTGCTATGTTTTATCTGTCACATGATAACTGTGTGTGTGACAAACTTCTGTGAAGTACCTACTGCTGAAGAGGAAATGAAAGTTCTTCTGAAAGATCCTGTCTCTGCATAGTAGTCTGAAAAATGCTTTCAATTCCCCATAGATATAGCTCAAGTGATAGCAAGATTCTGTTCTTTAGCTTCAGGACATGTATGTTTAGGAATTTGTTCCCTAATTGATGGATAGTTTTTTGTGCAGTCTGCCCAAAGAATAAATTGTCTTTGTACAACTAGAACAGTTGCTCATATTGAGATGTATTTCAACTTTAATGAAAAGGCAGTGTGATTTTTCTCTCCCCCACTACTGCCTTAAGCTCCCTACTTCCTGTCAGTCCAAAAAAAAAAAAAAAAAAAAAAAAACACCCACAAAGCCAAAAAAAAAAAAAAAAACCAACAAAAAACCCCAAACTTACAGCTGATTCCTGGGGTTGCTGTAGTGCCTCTGAACTGTTTTGGACACAATATGCACATCTTTTTCCTAAATCATCTCACAAATGCCATTGGGTTACCCTGAGACACTATCTCTTGGAAAAGGAGATCTATCACTTTGCAAAGTGAGTCATGTCCCTCTGAAGTGCTAGAAATGAGTTTATTAGTCCTGTATTTTCTTCCTTTGCCTTCCTAAGATTTTTTGCAATATGTACATATACGGAGAAATCTGAGATAATAATTTGGAGAGACTAGATTTGATCTCTGTTCAAAGACTATCTTGAGAAGATGCTGAATGTTATGTTGAGCAGGCCTAAACCTGCAAGTGAAGGGATGAAATGGAAGTAATCTTGGTGTGCTGAATAGAACTGCAAAATAGTTCTGTTTTACTCAGTTTCTTGGTTGGTTATAAGTATTAGAATAGAGCAATGCCCAGATTTATTTCCTAGTTTGAAAAAAAAAAATTTTAACAAACACAGAAAAAAGTTATAGGCTTTATTTTTTTCCCATGATTTATTTTTCCGTGACTTATTTTTTTCCAGGAACCCAAAATCTTTCTCCTTGTTGATTCAGTGACAATTTGGTAGCTAGTATTTCTTACTTAATTGATATCTATTTACTGTTTTTTCTTTTTTCCTTTAGGATCTTTATGCTAAAACTATGCCAAAATTAGAAAAAGCTGTTGAGCGTGGTAAAGGTAAGTCAGTTTTTCAGATTTTTACAGGCAACTAAAAAGCATATTCCCTAAAGGAAATCCCACTAAGCATCATTCCACCTTTCCTATTTCATGCATGTATGGCTGTTGTTCTGTGTGTAGCTCCTTTGGGAACCACTATGATGCATACTTCAAATCTGACCCCTGAATCTATGGGTGCAGCTCTAGGCATCCAGTGCCTCTGAGAACGACAGACGTGAAGAAGCCTCACCATTGCTTCCCAGCCATGCTAATGCAATCGCATTTGCCTGACTCTGCCCTGTAACTGAATCTACCTGCGATGTTTATTTTTGTTTACTGTGTTGGGTCTTAGTTTTGCTCAGTTTAACTTGCTCGTTTTGATTTAACTCCTTGGATCCCCTAAGTATTTTGAGGTTATTCAGAATATTTTTACTTGTCTTTGTTTTGAAAGCATCCTTTCATATTTTGGCTCCTCAGGACTGAGTGTGGATGCTAACAGCTGCCTCTTTGGAACTCATTTCAGATCCCGAGCTTTAATTACATTTTCCCTGAATGCAACAGTCTTTTAATCTGCTCCTTTATGGAAGGTCATTCCCCCATCAGTCCCCATCTGAGGGCATCTTTGCTTTCTGCTGTGTGTTTGTTTTGTTCTGTCATCTGGGGTTTTTTTGTCAAGTTGCATCAAAACTAGTTCTTCTTTATTATATAAACATAAGAATCTATTTTGTAAAGGCTTTTATCCCCAACTTGAAAAAGATATAATTGAGATGCAAGAGAGCAAAACAAAACGGATGGCCCAGAAGTGAGGGCAAATCTTCTATGAAAATTGGTAAATACAATACGATGTTCAGTTTCATTCATGTGTCACTAGGGAAGATCTCAAAGGCTTTGAATTTTATGCCAGCAGTTCTAAGATGTGCGTGATAGTTAAATGTGTTTTGATAACTCTTTGTGTCTTGTAACAACTGCCAGCATGTATTGATGGCTCCTTATCACAGAAACACTTTCACATTACATTAATGCACTGTGTTCTGACTTCTTTTCAGAGGGCTGTGAATTTCTCCAAAATCCCCCTCCTGGCTTTTATCCAAGGCTTGGGGTGGTCGGTTTTGCAGGGATTGTTGGATTGTTTCTTGCTAGAGGTAAGTGGGAAGCCATTGAACAGATTGTATCATGATTTGGGGTAAATTACTTCTCTGTGTGTGTTTGTTTGTTTAATCCTAGTTTTTAACTGAGAGACATGAGATCTGGCTTAACCTTTCCAAGTGTGTTTCTGTAGTACTCATCCCATTATAAAGAAACCCCACCTAAAAGGTGCATAGTGTCCATTCACTATTTATTGATTATGAACCTGTATTTGTGACTAGAATCTCATCTTTGTAGGAAAGGACTTTTTTAGACTAAAAATCTTTATAATTGCTCTTGTTCTTGATCACATATGTCACTGCTGATAATGGGAGAAATAAATTATGGCTAGAGAGATTCTTAGACTATGATACATGTACGATTTGCTGTGTATACGGGGTGCTTGGAAGTATTATGTGCCCTGGTGCAGACCTGCTGCAGATAGCAATATCCAGCAAAATTACTTGTGAACTCTGGATACTGTATAAATACAAGTGTATCTGTGGTGCTTAAATGTGAGGCTAATTTCATCAGACTAGTTGAGGAAAAGTAATAGGTTTATGTTTTGACAGAAATGTATGTTTTAAAGAATGATAAATTATAGAAACATACTTTGTGTTTCTAGTGAGATGTTCTTAATACAGTGAATTGAGGGAAATACAGTGAACTGAGGGAAACCAGAGGAAAAAAAAAGATGTAGAATTTAAATACTAGTGAAGACTTGCTTTGGGTAAAAATATACTTTAATGGACTCCAGATGTGTTGAACAAACAGGAAATCTGAGTTGCCCTCTTGGAACATACAGATAAATAATTTCTTCCAGGTTTAGCTATGGCATTTGAAGGTATTACTGCTCGCTACGTAGAAAGTATTGTATCCGGATTCAAGTCAGGCATCTTGATTTTAGGATACCAGTGAAAGGAATTCATTTAAGCCTGATTGCCTTGCACTGGAATGGATATGGGGATAGTCCTAACCTCCTGTCAGATGCGTATCTGCGGCAGGTAGCAGGCTGCTGGAAGGCAGTACTCTCTTCACCTTTAAAAAATATTCCTAAAGTGATGCTGTAGTTGTGCTCTGATAAACTGTCACTAAGGAGAATTTTTCCATTTCCATAAAAAAAAAAAAAGGAAAAGGAAGGTCATTTATGTGTCTGTAAAGATGCAGTGGAACTCCCCAGGGCTTCCTTAGCTCTGACTGGGATTGGTGCCTTCATGACATGGGCAACATCACTCCATGGAAGTCGCTCCAGTTTACCATTAGCAGTTTCTCCTCTCGTCCTGGGAATGTATTTGGGGAAATGCTGCATACTTCTAAGGTGCTTTTCCTCTTCAGAAAAAAAGAATCTCTTTACTGGAAGTAAATATATCTTTGCATATGGAACAAGCTGTGCTCCAAGTTCCAGCAGAGCTACTAAATCCTGACAGCTGCACATCTCTTCCATGGCCTGGGACCTATTTCCCTTTTATTCCATTCCTTTTTGCTTTTTTGGCTGTACCTGCTCCCTTCTCCATTCCTTTTGTGACAGGATAAATTGAAACATACCCTCTTAACTGAATTAGTGCTGCAGGTTTTCACTGGCAGACAGCATACATACACATCTATGACCAGCTGCGACGATGAGTTTGCTTTTTTTTTTTTTTTTCCTCCCTCTTCATTTCCTTCCTTAAGGCATTTCAATTTTCAAACTTGTATTATTGATTGAATAGAGATTTGATTGAAATAGATTAACCAATTGAAAACTCACTCAGCATAATTTGAAGTATCCCAGGTGAAAAGTACTTAAAAATTCTTTGCATATTATTACATTGAGTCAAGACAACCTCTTCATAAGAGCAGCTGTGGAAGAATCAGTATTTGTGAGTCGTAACTTCCAAAGGCTTCTCTTTGGTGTGAAACTTCTCTTGCTTCTGCTTGATTTCTCAAAGGAATGGTAACCTAACATTTCTTTGCCTGAGTTTGGCCTTTCAATTTAGGGAAAAAAAAGCATCAGTTGGTAGAGTTTCATTCAGTATTTCTTAAATGTGACTTCGTTATTCAGTGTTGAATTTACTTGTGTACTACCACAGCAAAAATAATTGTAATTTTCAGTATGGAAAGGTGCTAATAAAAATATTTTCCCAAGGTGAGAAAAACCAAAAACATTGCTCGGTTTAATTGTGTTCCTTAAGAAACTAGGAGGCCTAAACAGAAAATACATTGAGCTATATTTAGTGAAATAGTGTTGATAAATAAAATATTATAAATAAAAGTTGGGTAGGTCTATTCAGTTCTCTCAACTAATATATATTCCCACTATGTATTTTCTCCTGTGAAACAGGTTCAAAAATAAAGAAAGTGGTGTATCCTGCAGGTTTCATGGGAATTGGTGCCTCCCTGTATTATCCGCAGCAAGCCGTTGCTATTGCAAAGGTCAGTGATGATATTGCTTCTTTGGAGAAGTGTCTTTTACTTCGTGAGTTATCTTTTCCTACCTTGAAATTAATGGATTATCCATTTTTATAAAAGCCCGGTCTATATGACTGGAACTTAACAAAATAAAATGGATGGTTATTTTGTCAAAGGACACGCAGTCTAAACAACACTGGCTGAATGCTCCATTTCTTTTAGAGACTTCCTTTTGCTTCTGAAATCCATAGGAGAGTCTTCAGTTTGAGGAATATGAATTCCATTCTTAGTTTCTAAACTCCAGTAATTGTAAAATTAGCATAAACATGGTTAGCAAGTACAGCTTACGTGGTAAGTTACAATACTAAAGAAGCGTGAAATACCTTGAGAGCATATGAAAATGAGGTTGGGGAGGATTGACAGAGAGAGAAAAAGATTCTATGGAGAAATCATAGGAACTCCATTTTAAGACAAATATTCTGAGCAAAGTTTTATGCCTTTTGTGGGATACAGTTTTTTAAAAAAGTAGTACACACATCTGGAATGGGCTTAGAGTTCAGCTGCTCACTGGACTCCTTTCCCATTCATGCATCTGTATTTCAGAGATGTATAATGAACCTACAAACTTAGAGTTGCTTAAGTGCAATTCCTGTGCAAGAAAGAACGACAAGACCAGGCAAGTGCCTCGAATCCACATGGATCTCAGCTCATATGCTCTGTGTGCACTCAGGCTTCCTGCCACGTTTCTCAGATGTCCACCAAATTCTTCTTCAAACCCAGCACTTGACCACCCACAGTGTACATATTTCAGTGTTGTCTCAGATACTCTGTAGGGGGATACCTTGAACTTGCCTAGGATCTTTTTAACGATTCCAAGATTTAGATACTCTAAATACAAATAATTATGTTGACTCTCTTCAGGGAATGAAAATTTTTGCAAGTGGCAGGAAAAAGCATCAGTGTTGAAGAGCTTAGACTTTTCTGTATTCTGTGTGTATTGAAATTCTTGTTGTCTTCTGAACAGAGGAGGGAGGAAGTGATTGAGTAGTGTTCAAACTGATGATACATTTTTAAAAGAAACTCAGTTCAGCATTAACTATGGATTTTCTACTAATAGCTTCACAATACCGTGTTTATTTTACCAGCACTTTGAAGTGCATGCCTTCACTTTGATCAATTCACAGTTCTTAGTTGGACTATAACAAAAGATTTGGTGCGAAACACTGAGCCTGAAACTTAATTGGGGTGGGTTTAGTTCTGTTGACTTGGTCAGGATGCTAGATCTAAGAGTTGGAAAGCCTCTATGGAGAGTGATGTGCTCAGTATTTTTTTGTTGTTAGCTCCCTTATTCTCCCTGTTACTCCATTTTTCCTTTAAACAGTAAAAAAATAAGCATAGGGAGATTACTTTTTTTCTGCTTTTAATCTGTAATCAGAAGCATTTTCTTCTGTAGTTGTTATTTTGAAATGTTTCATTGACAATTCAAAAAGCTTCTGTAAGCCCAAAAGAAAATGGAGCTTGAGGCTTATAATCCACGTTGATAGGCCCGTAGAGGGAAGATTTTGGAACATAAGTTTTTCCTCATGTTTTGTTCTTTTTTTTTTTTCTTCCACACTTGAGCATTTCACTACTATCTCTCCTTCTGCTGTGGAATAATTGGTATAGTTCCCCTCAGCTGCCAAAGTTGAATTTGGTCATACTTTAAAGGAGCATAAAGCATCTTATTCACGCTACACTTATTAATGGCTTTATGTTGCAGTGCTAGAAGTTAACTGCAAATACATTTTGCTGAGTTAAGGTGCAATATAGGATGCATGTATCTGGGAGAAGACTGTTTTTTCCTTTAACTAAAATGTGTGGCTTACTAACTACAGTTACAGTAGCAGAGCTCAGTGTTGCTCATATGGAGTCTTCAGGAATTGATTCTCTAACTGGAGAGCAAAGAAATGTGTGGGGTACCCCATTCCATAGTTATTCTGATAGAGCCCAAATTTGTAAGGAATTTACTGCTGCACTGCTAGTATCAGTTTCGTTTGTATAAATTAAAGCAAATGATCAGACCATATAAGTGGTAAGGGAACTTGACTTAATAAAATGTTGACTCTGAAACTTGCAGCTTGTCTAGCACGGGCTTCCTCAGCCCACGGGATGTGTCCGCCATGTGGGGTGAGCCACCTTGTTGATCTCGAATCCACTGCCAAGAGCCGCCCTGTTGCAGTCTCTCTGCTCTCTGTATAGCCGAGTATTCCCCCTCTTGCTGCCATCTGATGCAGCACTAAAGGAGCGGTGCCAGGCAGGAGCTCTGCCTGCTCCGCTTGTGCAGAGGTGCCCCCCGCTCTCCGCCCGCAAACGCTTCCATTGCAGCTCTGCACAACGAGCCCAGGCCCGTGTGCCCAGCCTGCAAAGGCAAGTGGCTCATCCCAGGATATGCGTGGAGCTCCTTGACACAGGGTGTTGGGGATGCTAAAAGATACAGGGGCTCATGGGGAGGCTGCTCAACTCCGTATGAGAGAAACATGTGGGGAGTTACTGCACAGAAACCACCCCTGGCTCAGGGGATCTCTGAGCAGCGAGAAGGTGGTGGAGGTGGCAGAAACTCAGGAGGGAGCTGAGTGCCGTGTGTGCCTGCCCACACTGGGTCTCGCTTCCGAGCAGCACACAAGCCAGGGAGTAGCCTTAATGTTTTAACAGAAAACAAAACAAAATTTCTAGGATGGCAGTAAGGTCAAATTAAGAAAAACAAAAGAAGGTAAATATGTTAAATCTGCAGAATGAAAATTATCAATACAAGATTCCTTTCATGCAGCTTCCTCTATCCACCCATTTTTTATACAAATATACTTTAATGTATTATTTGAGCAGTTCTTTAATGTGTTATCTGAGCAGCTTTTAGCAAGTTGCTAAAGCAGGTAACTTTTCTACTTAGCGGTGTGACGTTTTTGTTTCTTTCCAGATGCTCTGTACACACAGAGCTTGAACAGCATGTGTGTCTCCCTAAAACATCCTTGCCCGAAGCTCTGACCCTTTGGAATCTCTTCCACTTGAACAACAAGCAAGCTATTATTTCTCAGATGCTTGTTAAATTCATGTTTTTTGGTACCTTTTCTTTCAAAGGTTGCTGGTACGCAGCTGTATGACTGGAGTCTACAGGGATATATTGCTGTAGAATCTCTCTGGAAGGATAATCCTAAAAAGAAGAAATCTGTGAAAAAAAATGATAAGGTAAGTAAGGGGGGCTCTGAATTATGAGAAAATGTGTCAGCACCCATGACATGTTCAGGTGAAGCATATATATCTTATGTAATAATATTTAGCTCCGATAAAGCTTTTTTTTTCCTGTGAGCCCTACTTTTTAAAACAAATGCTGATTAAATTTGATAGATTCCATCTTAAAAGTCCAAAATGGTGGTGTTTTTTCATTCTGTGTATCTCGTCTTTGAGATACAAAAAAGAATCAAATTTCAAAGAAGATTCTTGTTTATCTCATTTCTCATTTGTTCCTCTTCTGCATTTTTTTTTTTTTTTTTTTTTTTTTTTCCCTGGGCAGGTGAGTGTTCAGGAACATTTGCTGTAGAGTGATGTAATTCTGTAAACGCTACTATCCAATCATAAGAATTAGCACTTTATAGGAATATGCAACTTTATAGGAATATGCAACAAGAATTTAGTCATGAATGACAAGCTGTAATGGCTTCATAGTTACAACCCAATTAAAAAAAAAAAAAAAAAAAACCCTTGATCCAATCCATTCTCATCCAGCAAAGTGCCAATTAAAAAAAAAAAAAAGCTATGAGTCATCTTTGAAGGCAGTCAAATTGCTGATTTTTCATTTCCATTTGTGAAGTGTTTCTCTCAAGAGCTTGACTGGTGTAGGAGAGGCTAAAGGAATGTTCAAATAGACAATTCCGTAGTTCAAATAACACTTTTTATTTTCTGTTCCACAAGTCACTATTTTTGCCTGGCATTACCATTTGATGCTATCCAAGCAGCTTGCTTTTTTTTTTGCTTTAGAGATGATGGTTTTGTATTAGAGAGTTTGGCAAGGGTTGGGGTTCTGAATTAATGCTGCTCATACAACTGAGTAAATGTCTGCATGCTTGTTTTTAGTTTCAGAACAGAATGAACAGAATAGTTTTCTTTGCCTGTTCCCCCAACAGAGCATCAGATCATGTTGGGGAGTACAGTTTCATCTTCATCAGAGAACTGAAGCATTTTCTCTAGCTCTCCTAGTGCCCATTTTTATATAATACGTGCATTTGGGGACACATGTGCCTTTAGTTGCTCTAAATCCCAACATCTCTAGTGACAAATGTGATTTTTCATAGGTGATTTATAGTTAAGAGTAGTAGTTGCACTCTATATAAGCCTTGTCATTCAATGTACGTGAATAAACTTATCCTTGATTTTGAGGTAGCTTTTTTAGTAGTGTCTAAGTATGTTCATTTATATATTTCTCTGTGTTGAAGTAGTATGAAGACAAGTATTTTATATATATATATTTTAATACAAGTCCTTGAGATTTGTTCTTCTGAAAACAAATTAAACATGTGGAGGTTAAAGAATACTCAACAACAACAACAAAGTGCCCTCCAGCTTTGCGAGAGGCTCGAGCAAACCCACCAAGTCCCCTCCTGAGGAGTGCTTGGAGGTGAAGGGCTTCAGGGCTGAGAGCAAGAGTGAAACCAACACCTCAAAGAATAACAGAAATGCACAGGAAGCCAAAGACCGACGTGGTATTGCTCCACAAGGAGAAGAAAAAAGGAGGGAGGGAGGGGAATGGGCAGGAAAATGACTTTGTTACTGGTTTGCACTAAAAGGAGACTTTGCCTGTAGTTTGAGTTGAGCAAGTGTAATAAATAAGAGTAGTGAGTTACAGCACCGTAATAAATAAGAGTAGTGAGTTATAGCACCTCAGCTGTGTAGAGCTAGGAGTCTTTATTTCTCTCTAATACTACGTGTTAAGACTGAACAGAAGTGTCCAACTAGTGACACCCACCGCTAGTGCCCACAGTGACACCATTATGCTAAAGCAAATACTCATAAATATTCAGCTCCTAAAAGGAACAAAAAGGAAATAAGACTCCTATTTGCTGTTTCGGATGCATTTTTGCCTTCTTTAAAATGCTACCAGTTTTAGAATTAGTGCAATGTGATTCATTAATGGTATTAGTTGGAGATTAGCATTGGCCTGTGAAGTAAACATGAGCTGTTTGAATGAATCATTACATTTTAAAATATTTTGACTATAATTCATAACCTGCTTCAGACTTCTCGAGTTAGTTAAGTTGATGGTATCTTGTTTTGTTTATCAGCTGGATTCTTCCCTTATTCCACAGAATTAGGCTCTCCCTGTAGCTGCAGATGAGCAGCCTGACTGTGTGTGCACGGCTCAGAGAAGCAGAGTGTGAGAGACCAAAGAATTAGGTAGAGCAGGGAAACTTAGGGCTGATTCAGCGTGTGGGGAGGGAGAACCTGTAAGGTCAAACCATTGTTAGAGAATTTTTTAACAGTTACATAAAGAGACAAAAGTTCAGGTGTGTAACTTGAAAGCTTCTGCTGTTTGGAATTTATTTCTAGACTCGCTCCATCTTTCATTCCAGATTTCTAAGCAGCTGTGCTTGTTTTTGGTTAAAACAAAGGCTTCTGTTGCCTTAACAGAAGACTGCTGCCTTTCTCTTATCTTACAGGCTAGTTCTTTAAGATAGCATGTGGAAACTAACAGGTGACTTGAGATTAAATTTGAACCCAGGCGGTGTTTTAATGCTCCCTGTGGATCTTCTGGTTGGCCGGAGCTAAGAGCTTGCAGCAGCTCCCGCCAGCCTGCCGCATGGTCCAGCTTTAGCGGTGCTGCCCTGGGGTTTGGGGAACCGGGAACTGACTGGAATAAGGTGGCTGCTGCCGGAGGGAGGCGGAAGCAGTGAGGGATGCAGCCCTGGAGAGGGGACGTGCTTGCAGGAGGCAGCTTGGAGTTTTGTTCCACGGGTAGGTCCAGGTGCATCGGTGCTCGCGTGCCGGAGCCGTGTGCGCCACTCCCGGCGCTTGCAGCCGCTGGCGAGGGCGCCCGGCAGGGGAAGCTGCTGGCGGCTCCACGGAATCTCGCTCGGGATCACGCCTGGGGCGCCTCAGCAACAAAACACATCTAACCCTTTGAATAAACAAAGGTTACATAGTTAGTCGTACCTTTTGTAAACCTGAACTGTCAAAAAAGAGCACGAAAAACAAGGCAACATTGAAGGATTTCAGAAATACAGACTGAAGATATCGATAAAAACTAGCTGAGCTTTTTATTTTATTATGTGCTCTAGCCTTTCAAAAGGAAACACACAGTTGTTATTGGAAGCAAAAAACTTTGAAGCTTTCATCTTTTAGTAAGGTTTATTCAAGCACTTGCTACCTCAGCAGAAAAACAAACCACAAAAAAAAAAATTGCAGAGCCCGCTATGTAAACACACTTCTTTCTCTTCCTCCTTGCAGAACCTTTAAATTACACCCCTTAGCTGCCAAAAGGAAAATGTTTGTTGCACAAGAGTGCGAGGTGCCCTTGAATAGCATTCTCCTAAAATGTATCTAATTAATCATAAATTCGTAGTGGTCACCTTTGCCAGTTAACTTGATAAATTGGAATGCAGGTGCGAGATGCAGAAATCCCATAGCTGAAGGGAAGGGCAACACCCCTCAGATGAAATCACCCGTGTTTCAGATGCTCCAAGGTCTCTAAAGAGCCGAGTGTGCAGCCTCATGGGGATTTTTTTTTTTTTTTTTTTGTTAGGCTGTTGTCTCAGTGCCTCTTAGAGAAGCTGAACTGCAGGTCAGCAGTAAAAAGTCACACGCTTTCCAAGTCACTAGAATGGACTGAGGAGTATTTCTAAGGACAAAAGAGCCTGTTCTCAAATTTCTTGTTGTCCATCTTGGGTAAACTGTATGAAGCATACAGGTGAAAAGTTTGGCTTTCAAGGACAGTGATGTGCTGGCAGGATGTGGTCAAACATACTTGGTAATGAGGATCGTTGCCTTTTTTTGATACCTAAAAGCATAGATGCAACTTAGACATGAGATGAGGGGTCAAGTCTACCCTGGAAAATAAAAAGAAAGTCCCAAAACGCTTTCACTGTCTGTACCTAGCAAATAAAAAAATGTTTTCTGTTTGTACTACTGATTGGTTTAGACTGGTTTTGTGAATCTATACTAGCAAAACAAAACGTGTTGGCAGTAGTGCAAGCTTCATAAAAGTAGAGCTTTTGCTGATACAGAAATGTTAAGGAAAGGCAAATACTCCTAACTGTCATGTACTAAAACTGGCAGAGTTTTCTAGGATAGATTCTGGGATTTCTGCCTTAATTTGACAACTCGGTGAAAGAATATCTCTTTTTTTCCTTTATTTTTTTTCTCCCTCTATTCCTGTATATTCATTGCTTATTGTCATGCCTTACTACATACAGTTAGATTCCAAAAGTAGTGAAAGGAAATGTAAATATTATTTTGGAGTTTTAGCACGTGTAACCCATTTCAAGAAACTGTGCTAGAGCAAAAGATGTTGCTGTGTGTTTTTGTTTTTATGACATTCACTAGCATTGTTCTGTTGCTACACAAAGGAGTCATGCAAAGACCCAAAAATTACATGGGTTGCTCATCTTGGCTTGTATTAGTTTGTTTTATTGCTTGTGATGTGTTTTACAGTCATAGGTATCACAGCTGTGCATAATGTGATGTTTATGCAGGAATATGTCACTTCAGTAGACACGTTCTGTTAGTTTTTCAAAGATTTTACGAAGCAAAAAGCTGTGCCAAAGTGAGGTCATATCGGTTGAAATCCAAGTCCTGCCAAAAGAGGTGAATTCCAGGACTTTCTGCCCCAAACTGCTGCAGCAGCTGGAGCGCTGAGGCCCGAGGCTCTCCTGGGGGTGCCAGGCTGGCGGGTGTGAGGGCACTGCTTGCTGTGTAATGTTCTGGTAGCCTGAAGCTGCTTTGCTGAAGGGCCTGCTTATCAAGAGGAAGGGGCCTGTCCAGTAAAACTACATGAGACCCGTAAGTGAAAATGTTCAGTGTTCTGTTTGCAAGAGGATGAAGCGTTTGCCTAATGTCAGAGTTCAGTTTCTGTATATATAATCTTGATATAAAATATATTTTTGCTGCTTTCTCCAATCAGGAAAATGGTAGGGGAAATATAACCACCTTGGTGAGAAGTCAGGGCTATTTAAGAATTTTATATTATGAAATCTTTT